ATCATGAGTACCTAAGGTCTCTCAAGTGCAACAGAGACTTCAAGGCAGAAAATGTTTCATCAATCTCCTAATTTTAGCATTGATTTGCTTCCACTCAGCAAGCAGCAGAAACTCATCTCTTAAGAAAGTGTAACCAGCACAGCCAAGAAACAGACACTATAGGTGTCATGTACCAAATCCAAACAAGATTTCCTGAATTTAGAGAGCTCAGCAGTGACACATTTTAATCACATTAGGAGCACTTTTTTTAAATTATTATTATTATTTCAGCAATGTAGGGGGGAAAAAAACCAAAAAACCAAGCAACCTCCAGAACTGAAAGCGAAACCTGGAGAAACTCCCCAGCCCTGGCTCTCAGGCGCCTTCCCTGCCTGCACCCCAGCTGCACAGAGGCTGTTTCTTCCCTCAATTCACCAAGTTTTCCTAGGCCGTGAAAGCTGAGAATAAGATCAAGGACACCATGGAGAGCTCCTGTCCAACATTGTAGAAACAGCTGATGGGACCTAAAGAACCAAGGGTCATTGTGAGGGTCATCATATCAGGTTCTAAGCAAAGCTCTCACTTTCTAGTTATCAGCTGCTTACAGGGTTTTTTGTTCTTAAGGCTGAAACTTGACTTTTCATCAGCCTAGCTGCAAGAAAAGGTATTTATGTAAATTTCATTACAAAACTATTTACAACACATTTGTTCAGACTTTCTCTTTAATTGCTACTTTTTTATTCTTACCAATTTTAATGCCAGCCTCTTAATGTAAATTTTCTTCTTTTTTACGATACTGTTCACCTGTTGCTTATTAATTCCTTCATACAAAAACTTCCACCAATTTAAACGTTTACTAAGGAACAAAGGTTGGTCTCAATGATCTTGAAGGTCTCTTCCAACCAAAAATGTTCTATGACTCTAATGTACCTAGGTAACCGTAGGAGCTTGTGCATGTAGACTGCTTCTACTGCTAACTGTACCATACGCTTTTTTCTTTGAAACTGGAATCTGGAATGTAAACACACATTTAAGTTCTTTATTTTGAGTAATTTTGCCTATCTGACCATGTCCAATGGTTTTCAGCCTGTCATCCATAGACTTCCGGATTTATCCTTAGTATACCTTAATGCCGGCATACAGACATCTCCACATCCATTGGGATCTCTCAGGTCTTGAAATGTCAAGAAAAAGATGAAAACAGATGATTTGGTCACTTTGAGCCTCCTGTCCACTTTAAGGCAGAATCGTAAATGGTGCTGCTTAGAGAAGTGGAAGTGGTCTGACTCCCCTCTCCACCCTCATTGTCTGCTGTGGCTGTCATGCCTGGGGACTGATCTTTTTGCACAATTTGATGAGAAGGAGCAGTCTCACAAAGGAGAAAGTTGTCCCAGGTAAAATCCTGGGAAAATTTCCATAGATTTTAGGGGGCCTGGAAGTCAGCTCACATGTAGGCAAAAAACAGATTTCTATACAGTGATAATATAGCTTCTGATACAAATAGCCTTTTAAATTCACAGAGTGCAAGGTAGAAAGAAGATAGGGCATGTATTGATTGCAGATGCTTCTAAATGTTTACATTCATTTTTACTCTTTGTTCATCAAGTCATTTAAAAACTGAAAAAGTCAGCAAGAGAAGATCCTTGGAAAATGAAAATACATAAAGAGTAACTGCTGAAACACTGAATGTGGTAAAAAATCTCTTGTGTTGGAGCTCAACGTATGGCAAAATAGAAGAAATCATCACTTCTAAAAGTGGTTTTCTCTAATAATGTGTTAGTCCTTAAAGTGCACTTCATGGACAAAGCTTTTTAAAATAAGCTTTTAAGTTTAAAAGGGCAAACCTAAAAAGATTGCCTGACATTTAACAATGATCAGCCCTCAGAAGTTCCCAGAATTTTCTTCTTTCCAGAATAATATTGGACATCTCTTTGTTTGCATACCACTTCAAGGTATCATGTTCATCATGTATGGGGAGAGATCTTGAGCTGAAATTCTCCACTTAAAGAGATTTAGGAGTTTCTGACCACCAGACTGGTAGGGGTGAGCTTTATCTCTGAGATGCAAGGTCACAACAAACACCTGCAGGTGAGAAAGTTACTGCTTTGCCAAGTGTCAGAGTATTTTTCTTGCCCCTGTGTTCCAGCTCCCAGGGGGATCTATCAGACGTTCACAGTGAGGTCCCCTGACTAAATGCTGGCATGTCACGTTGCTCAACACTGGAGGATACAATATGCTGTTCGTCATGCAGTCCCCTGGTGTGTAGTCAGCTCCCAGGCAGCTGGAAAGCACGGGGACAGAGTGGGAGGAAAAGCAGTAAAATGTGAGCTGGATTTGATTATATTCCAGTTTAGAAGGAAAAGCAGGGAATTAACCATGAAAACAAAAAAGGGGGCTTTGATGCCCGTTCCCAGATGACAATAAAGGCGAGACCGAGCTAAAGTATTTGCAGGAGACAGAAAAAAATGGAAGGAGAGTCTAGTCTCCAGGATGAGAGAGAAGATGCGAAAGTGAAAGGTGCAAGTTAAAGAAATGAGGAATCAGCAGCTGTGATCACTTGCTTAATCTGCAGTACACTTACGGAAAGTAATAAATTAAGTTGCATTAGCTGTAAGGGTTAAATACTTTGTTGTCAAATATTTCTCACAATTTACCCCTGCCTCCCACAGAAATGCATATGTTATTCTGAGAAAAACTGATGTGTCTAAGGCTTGGAAAGGAAAGAGGAATTGTGATGAGATCTGACATCCTGAAGGGCTTGTTCTCTGATCAGGGTAGAAATGAAGCAGTGCATTTTAAAAGAGATTTTCAACTGAAAATTGTAATTGGACCTCATTTGAAGTGTTTCAAATCCTCTCTGGGTACAATATAGTGCACACAAAAAAAGCTTGTGATATTTTGATGTTTGCTTATCTACATGCTGTCCTGAAGTATGACAGAACATGGTGTAAATTATGAATAGCACGTGGGCGCTCTGCTGTTGCACTGCAGGAGATGTAGTTAGGAGAAGATTTTAGAGTTCAGCATTTTGTGTCTGTCGCTAACAAACTAAGCCAAGGGAAAGTATCGAATGTATGTCTGCAATTTATTTCTTCACAAGCTGTGGCTTGGTTTTCTGTGGGGCATTTTCTCTCTGTCTTCTTGTTTTTCAAGAGTGTAAGTGAAAGACATAGAGTAAAAAGTCCAGCTGCAGTATCTTCATCAGCACAATGGGTTTTATCAATGTTGCTAGCATATTGAATGCAGTAGAAGTTACAAGCTTCCATTAGGCTCCTGCAAGTAGTATTTTTCTTCTTATATTACTGTGGTTAAGCACCCAAGCTATCAGTGTTTACACTGGTTGTCTAAGAAGAATCCATACTTTATCTTCTTTAATAATGATCTGTCAGAAGGATAAACTGAATGGATATTGGTTTTCCTCCTTTTGAATCCCAGAGCAGTGTTCTTTAGAGGTCACTTTTTTGTTATTTAAAATGTGTGATGAAAGTATTGTTGTTCCCAGGTCAACAAAGTTTGGAATGGGAGGAGAGTGAGGCAAGCATGTAATACCTGGTAGAGTAAGTTCGCGAATGAATTAGAATGATTTGAGATAACAATAAATGGCACTGTAAAACTAAGAATTGCTGATACTGATAGAGAAAACATTAAATTGCATCTATTTAACCAATAATTATTAATTAAAATGCCTATTTCTGCATAATATAATGTGACTATTATTAAAGACACAAAATTCATGCAAGTAAGCATGTCCATTTAAATTGGGGGATGCTTTGTGGAGAAAAGAGGATCTAGCCTCTGAAAAAGAATGTGTCTGCCAAAATCCTCCATGAGTCACAGTCCCTCCGGGCCTCAGTTTCTTCCTCTGTAAGATAAGTAAAATAACCTGAGTTTTCTTCCCTCACTAAGCTGCTATATTAATGCATCCTTTTTGTAAATCCAGTAGAAGGATACAAAATGTTCTAATGTTCTTGGGCTTGTTGTTCTGAGCATTTTCTATTTTGAATCCTTGTGCATTTTTACATGGGAGGCAGAAGTGGGTCATTCCCTAGTGATCTTATTATGGGAGTCTTTCCCTTATATAAGGATCTCTAACTCTGCTGCTGCTCTTCTTACTTGTTGATGACAGATTTGGCCAGCACTTGTTCATCAGTATGTATTTATTTTAATATGTTACAGTGGCTTCTGTCCACAGGCTATTACCTTGAACTTTTATTAGTATTTCAGTAAAAAAGAAGATCCTGTCACCAAAGACGTAGTAGTAGCACAAAACATCAGGAACTCTGACCCAAGAAACCAAACCTAATTATCCAGAGCCTGCAGCTCAATCCAGTTTGCTGTTCAACAGCAGTTTTGATTAGTAGGTGTAGAGGCAAAGATGACCTTTTTTCTTCAATGCTTAGAAAGAGAAGAAAAGAAAAGGCATGTATACATTTGACACAAGCCGGTGCATACATTGCAGATTACTTTTGTTTAGGCTGGATGTCCTTGCATCACAGAACAACTTTAATGATCATTAGCCACTCTCTCAGTGATTAAGTAAATGAACTCAAGAAAATGAATTGCTGGGTACATTCCCAAACACTTGGTACAGTTTATTGAAACTGATCAGATTAAACAAGGAGTAAATTGAGATTCACTTCAACCTCTACCTATTTGGAGAATACAATTAGGGAAGACACTCCTTAGCTTATGGAGAAGTGAAGCTGACACTCAGTATTGACAGAAAGTGAAAATCTTTAATGCATCTATGTTGGTAATTTATATGCAGTGTCGGGAATAAAATCTAAAAGACATAGGTGTCTTCTGGAGCTCCAGAGAGCAGCACGCACATCAGCTCAGCAATCACTGCAGCTAGTGTGCTGTATGAGGAATGCATATTCAAGTAAGTGTCTAATGCAGTGAGAAATAAAAATTACAGCTGTTAACGCATCTTGAACTGAAATTAAATTTGGGCCTTGGCAGAAATAAATAAAAGACAGGCGTACTTAGAAAGTAAGAAACACACTAAGAAGCTGCCTTACCTCCATCTAGTTCTTCAGCTCCAAAATGATTCCTGTAGAAGAGCATAATCTCTATCTTGTAACACTTGTAGATAGTCACTAAACAAACAAGCAGCAGCAGAATAGCACCAAGCCCACCAGCAAGCTCAACTGTGTACATCAGCTCTGCAAAGAATTACAAAACACAGTAACAACCACATTCCAAACCAGAGAAAGATTAGTAGCAGACCTTGCACTTATGTTAAACTTTAAAATAAAATGAAGAATGATGGGTTATTTATTTATTTATTTTGTTATAAGGCCCTTGAAGAAATACCTAATTAATAGAATTTCTTTTTCCTTTAACAAACTAGTTTTTCCTCTAGTACACCATCTGAATTTCTCATTTAAAAAATAACAATTGCTGTCGATGTGTGTATGTGTGTATGTGTATGAGTATGTGCATATATATAAGAGATATTTGATAACTCTCTTCCTTCTCTCTGTAGATGGATCACAGTTTGGTTTACACAGATAAATGTTGATGTTCTACTCACAATGAAAACAGCTGGAATGTTTCTTTTTTGGGGACTATAGTGCAAACAGCTCCTCCCTTATTCCACACACAAATAACATGAGTTTCAGTCTACTGGATAAGATTACACTAAGATGTTTTTTTTTTTTTTTTTAAATAAAAATGAAAGTTGTTACACAATCAAAAAACTTGAGAAATATAAAGACAAATTGCCCGAGGAACCTTGCAGCCTCACATCCCCATTATATGTTAATATCTTTGACACAGTTTCCCAATGGTCTATAGTTTATCTTTATTCTCCCCCTTCCCTCAGTGGAGTTGTCTTGTGTGTAACCCAATTTGTCCATTCTGACATTCTCATTCAGACTGTGACCCCATGGTATCTTTACCACACTCTAACCACTGGAGACTCACATGATGGATTGAGATCTTTGCCATGTAGCTCGGTTCCTGAGGATGGGGACTCTGGTCAAATGTAGCCACAACTGTCTACCACCAGACAGTGAGGCCACTTATCAGTGTAGAAGTAATATGCCATCGTGGACTTTCACCCTCAGTCTTAGCTGTTGCACGTTCAAGGAAGCTCAGATACCTATGTGGCATCCATTTTGTTGTTACTTTTCATGTGCTTGTTGACCAAAAACTAGCAACGTTAAAAAAGGAGGGTGGGAGGAGGAAGAGCATTACTAACAACTTTGTAATTTGAAATGAGTAATAGATGGCAAATCTTAAGACCCATACTTTTCCAATACCTTTCAGTTTTGAGGAATGCCAAGAAATCAAATCTTGGAAATCTAAGATATACAGTTTGCTTCATAAAAATATGTACTGGAGAAATCTCAGTTCCGTTGTTATTTTCACAGTATCTTCTTCCAGTGAACAGCTTCTGTCTAAGTGAAGCAGGGTAGTCCTAAAGTAACCTCTTCTTTCTGTGTGTGTGGTTATGCAGATATGATACTCCAGCACAATACAATTCAATTAAAGAAATAGAAGGTTAGAGGAAAAAGTGACAATTCCATTTATTTTGGCTGCGTCTACTGAGAATCACACACTTTTTTATTATTTTGAGGCCACTGTAAGAAGATTTCATTGCTCTCTAGAAGACACTAAAAGTGTAATAAAAAAAAAAAAATAAAAAGGCATTTATATTCCATGTCATTCTCTCCAAAACTGTGCTAGAAACTCCTTTGTGTTAGATATTTTTAAGACTGATATGGTTATTTCAGACTTTCAATACTTTTCTGGTCGAGAGAGGGGAATGTTTTTTAAAACATCCAACAAAAAAATTGTTTGCATAGATGAGTAATACAGTATTTTAGAATATAAATGGAAAAGGAAATTACTCTGCACTGGCTTACTATACCCTGTTTATCATTTTGTATTACAGGTGATGCAGCTGTTCAATGGTAACTAGAAGAAAGGCTTTAATATTTCGGGTTGTTAGGCACAAAATACTCTATTTATGTGCCTGCTGTTATGACTCATTAAAGGCAAGGAAAAACTTTACAGGTGGAAAACAAAAGTTTTTCCTACATTAATGATTTTGAGATTAAATGGAAAAAATAACTGCAGGTAGTCATCTGTTCTTTGTCACTGTGTATGAAATCAGAATAATGCACTGCATCACTCTTGCCATCAAAGAGTCCCTCTTAGTTATCTTTTTCCCCCAAAATAATTCAAGATTATGCCTATATTTCTACCTCAGTAAAGTCTATCTGCACACACATGAAACTTCTAAATTAGACAACCAAAGCAAACAACATTCTCTAAGTCACGCTGAACCCTGCTAGAAATTACCTTGTCATGTGCTGCTGCTGAGCCCATCATGATCAATTATGAGCACAAAGACAAGGCAGTTCTTTCTTAAACAGATTTGTCTGCAAAGTTTCATGCTCTATCCATCTAGGATATGAAGCTTGTATTTTCCTTAGTGCTGGACAACATCTATCAGCGCATGTTTGCTCTCTGTCTTGGATGCTGTTTGTCAGGGTTCAGAGGCAGAGAGGAGCAGTGATTAGCCCAGCAGAGTGCTGCATCCTTACACCCATCCCTGCAAGTGCCTGAGCTAACCCCCAAAGTGCTGGAAGTGGGACAGTCACATCTGTGCAGCGCCATGGAAGGCAGGACGGATTGGCCTGGGCACAGTGTCACACCAAGCTGATTGCTTTCAGGACCCTGAGTTAGTGTTTCTGCAGGATGCTAAACCGTGCCCTACAGGGACACTGTCTGGCTTTGAGCTGCTGCAGGGATTTTGTGAACAGCATTACCCTGTGTTGCTCTGAACTGAAGGTTGAGAGGTGAGGAGCAGAAGGCTCAGTCCTGCCTCTGCTGTTGGCCCCTTGGGTGACGGAAGCCACTTCACATTTCTGTGCCTTGGTTTTCCCAATAAGAACATGGGAGGGTGCTTCTGACTCCTTTGTAGGAGAGGATACTCCTGAAAGGTGCTCTACAAATGCCAGGGGTGTTGGTGATGTGTATACCAACAACGTCAACAATGATGTAGTGACTGTTAAAGCTAAGTTAAAGCGTAACAGCAAGGTTAGAGCGTCAGGTTACCTTCACAACAACAATTTTTTCTGCCTCTTTATTCTGCCTTTTGCATTGCGATTTGAGCACAGTTGCTGCAGCAGGCATTACACTCCCTTTGAAGTGTGATCTGTTTTTCCTGCTGAAATTCAAGTTTCTTGTAGTGGCTACGTGCTAAAAAGATTCAATTTCAGCACAATTCCGCATCAGAGGGGAGAGACGAAAAGTGCAAACCTTTTAAAATCTATTTAGCCTCTGTGTTATGTTGCTCAAATTACAGACCTGGCCCTCCTTAAGGAGGTGAGACTAAATGTAGAAAATAGTAGAGGAAAATTACTTGGCTAACCCTTAGGGGGACAGGCATTCTGTTAAACACAACAAATGAGCGAGTGCCAGGGAGTTACATCCAGAAGCACAGCAATCATTTAGTTACAGGCAATTAGCAATAGTCCTCAAGTAGCACAGGAACATTTCTACTCCAAGGGAAAACACATTGATTACTGCAGCAATAGTAGATTGGTTTCTGAATAAATAGCTTCAATTTAAAACAAGATTTGTTACAAGCATTTTGACCAATGGCTACAATTTTTTTTCCTTATCAGGAGGCCAAGCAACCCAATGAAAGAGACAGCTAATTAAAACAAAGTACGCGTCCTCTCCAAACATCCGGCATGATACAGCCGGTAATAAATGCACTCATTTTATACTGATTCTATCCTAATAATTAGGCATATTTGTAGGATATATCTTTGATCTTCACCTGGCTTTAATATTTGATAAACTTCCTTTCACTGTGTCATACAGGTGATTCACTTACCATGGCTGGAGTTGTAACAAGAAAGTAAATAAAAGGGTGCCTTCAAAGATTAGTATCTTTTGGCTTATACAACATGCTTCAGGGACTTTACATTTAATGATCTGTAATAATTTAAAATTAATCTTATTCTATTCATTACTCCACATGCAACTGAGCTACTAAGAAAAATAATTATATTTCAAACATTCCTTTTTTGTGATTTATAACTATTTGAGGACATGTGATTTATAGCTGTGTATTCAATTTCTGAGACTTTTTCAAAATCCAATTACAGTCTATCTAAGGTTTCAACTTTGCAATCACTTACGCAGATTGCTTAACTTCATGGACTGTAAGTAATCCCTCTGAGGTCAACAGGACTATTCGCAGAGCTTCAGGTTAGTGCATATATAAATCTTTGCAACTCTGTGGCCTAAACACTGCTTGTCCTAGATGATTTAACTCACAAAGCTACAAGGTTTGGTTAAAGACAGTTCTCAGTTTCTCTAGGTATACTTTCATAGACTTCAATTATTAAATTAAAGGTAATGTATATAATTTGGAAGGGAGACGTTGAATATGGTACTAAAGCTCTCGTGATGACACCTGAGAGAAGCTAAAGAAGGCAGATACTGACAACTAGCACGAGACTGATGTGTCATAACATGGAACTTTGGTTATAAATGTGTGTGTTTCTTCTAAAGGAAGAAGGAGGCTGGCTAACACAGAAGTGTTCATCTGAGTCTCATTTCAGACATCAGCAGTAAGAAGCACGCAGAGTTTAGGTTAGGAAGAAAGAAAACCATACTCACAGTTTAAAAATGGAGAAGTATGTGCTTCTTTTCTATTTTTTTTCCCCACTCAATACAATATTTATTATGACATGGCTGTAAAACAATTTATCTTTCTAAAGTATAGCATATGAAACCATAGCTTTATACAGCATATACAAATCCAATATGCACATATATGTATAAAACCTATTCTCTACTTTTTTAGGATTTTTTGTTTGTTTTGTTTCAACATGCCAAACAAAATCTGTTTGTATTTAAGGTATGTAGATGGCTTTATGGACACTGCTGTGAATAACTACTGATGGATATTGTAGGACAGTAATACTTCTAATACCAGTAGAAACAGATTTGAGATGTTCATTAGCTTGATTATGAAATCATTTCCTAGCACAAAGTATATGCTTTCTGCCAGCATAGGCCATGCATTCCTGTAGATGTCTGCAGAGTTGACTTCAAGTGGCTAAATTTAGTTACAGCTTTTAATACGGCTTTCAATGCAGTAGTTTCATTTTATTTATTACAACTAAGACCTACT